GGAACTCCCCCTCCTCCCTTCTCCCCTGTCCCACCTGTTGAGCAGGACCGACCGTCCCGTCATCCCTATAGGCCTACCACGAGATTTTCTTAGAACACAACAGTGTTCTAAGCCACAACCAATGTTCTTAGAGCATAAACCCGATGTGATAAAACAAGACAGTCCCAGCCAGAACTGCTCTGAGCACACTCCGTGGAAACCACCGAAAAAGGCTCTCAGAACCCTGCCTGGTGGGCCTATGGGTGAGCCGGGACGCTTCGCCACTGCTCGAACCCGCGGCAATGGTGGTGCACAACTGGCCCGGCACGCTGCCCCGGACCCGCGCGCGTGGGCGGCGGCGCCTCCTCCATCGCCGCGCTCGCGGCCGCCGCGGCCGCGGCGCTGCGGGCGGCCGCCGCCTCCGCGGCGCCATCCGGGCCCGCGAGCCTGCCGGCGTGCCTGGCGGGGCGGAGGCCGCGGAAACGGCGGCGAGCCCGGGGGCAGAGGCCTCCTGGATGCAGGGCGGGCGTGCCCCTCTACAGGAGGAACAAGGAACGTCGACACCAACACCACCAGGGCGAGGAGATACGAGGAGGCAAGGGTGGTCTTCCTGCCTGGTGGTGTGGTCCCCCCTCTCGCTCGAGACATCCTCAGCCTCCAGCACGGGGAGTCATCGTGGGCCTCCTCGCTGGAGGTGGACCCCCTGGTGGTGTTGGTGTCGCTTCTCCTACCTCCGACTACAGGAGGAATATTCAACAATACGGTCAACCAGCATAGGAAGGATGCGCGATCAGGATGCAAGGGCCTCGGAAGGCCACGTCGAAGCTCTTCGAGCGGGGCGCGGCCAACGAAAGTGGCCAAGGATGGGCCGAGGATGCAAGGATGCAAGGGTACCCTTGGGACGGTTGCCCATCCTTACTAAGCGGGTTGACTGTAGTCAAAACATGGTCTGGGGACGATGATGATCCTTTTTGTTGTTGGACTAGTTCTGCGTATTGTTCGACTGGTTTTGAATTTCCTTCCAGCACCCGCCTGTAGGAGGACATGCCCGACCTGACCCTAGATGGGGTCCGAGTAGATGGGGTCGGAGGATCGCGCCGCATTGGCAATGCATCGGCAATGCACCGGCGATGCATCGGCGCCGTGGGCGGAAAAGACGGGAGGAGCACGGGGCGAGAGGGAGAGGAGGCGGGAGGGGAGAGGCGCGGGAGCGACGCGGGAGGGGAGGGGCGCAGCCGCTGGACACCACCGCTGCAGGAGGGCACCGACCGTGCACGCACGCCGACCCCGACCGGGCCCCTCCCGGGGCGCCCCTCCTGGGGCCTGGGCTGGGGCAGGAGAGCACACGCACCGACCCGGGGCCCAGGATCGGCCTGTCCGGCATCGTGGGCATCGTGCAGTGCGTGTTCGCAGCAACGTGGGCATTCACAACGGTTAACTCCCCCCGTGGCCGTAGGCGACCCCGAGGATGAGGAGGAGGAGTAGGAGGAGGAGGGGAGGAGAGGCGGAGAGGAGGAGGAAGGAGGAGGAGGAGGGGGACGGTGGCCAAAGCCCTTTCGGAGAAACCCTCCACCTCCGAGGCTTCGGGAACCAACAGCGGCGGACAAAAGAAAGAAGAAAAAAAAAGAAAAAAAAAAAGAAGAAGAAAAAGAAAAAAGGAAAACAGAACACAAAGAAAAATAGGAAAAAGAAAAAAAAGACATGAACAAAAAAAGCGGAATAAAAAGAAACGAAAAAAAAGAAAAAAAAGAAAGAAAAAAGATAAACAAAAAAGAAAGAAAAAAAAATAAAGAAAAAGCGGCGGAAGAAAGAAAAAAAAGAGACACGAAAAAAGCAAGATAAAACAACAAAAAAGAAAATCAAAGGGCAGGCCTCCTCTCTCTTGGCATAGACAGCTCCCGGGGAGGGTCTCCGTGGCAGAAGCCAGAAGCCTTTTGGACCTCCACCTCCTCCTCCTACTCCTCTAAAAAGCCTACTTCCTCCTCCTCCTCCTCCTCCTCCTCCTCCGCCTCCCCCAGAGTGAGCCCAGGGCAAGGCCCGTTGAAGGGGGTCGGCAGAATAGGACGGGAGCGTGCCCGATTGGGCCGGTTTCCGACCGCGGGTATGCCAGCGCCGATGCGGAATGTACAGTCATCGGCCTGACCTAGGGAACGATGAATAAGGAACGACGCCCCTTTTTGCAAAGGAATAGCGCATAAGGAACGATAACACATCAAAACACAAGGAAGGATGAATAACGCATGCAAGCCTAAGGAACGAACGAGCCCATTTTGAAAAGTAAGTGTTCCTTATTCAAGCCGTTCACTGTAGGACGGGAGTGTGCCCGACTGGGCCGTTTTCCGACCGCGGATCTGCCAGCGCCGATGCGGAATGCAACCTCCCAGGAGCTGTATCCCAAAGACAGCCTCGCACACTGTGGAGGGCGAACCTTCGAGGAGGCGAGGAGGGGAGCGGGAGGGAGGGTGGGATGCTCGTTCTGGGGACCTTCCTGGAGACACTCGCCCCACTCTTGAGTCAAAGCTGCGTCGAACGTGCGTGGGTTTGAGTCGACCATGAGTCGAACCCGAGTTGAACTTGAATCGAACTTGAGTCGAGTGTGAGTCGAAGTTGAGCCGACCTGGGGTTGAAGTAGAGTCGAACAAATCTGTTAGGTGAGCCCCAGGAAGATTCCCAAACCGAGCATCCAAGGAGGGGGCGACGTAAGGAGAAGACCAGCTCAGGCCCCGAGCTGCACCACCCCCTAACGTCGCCCCCTGAGCCTCAGGGGGGGAGAACACTGGCCTGGAAGCGTCGGCGAGGCATCGCCGATAGATCGGCGATGGGCCCCCGACAGCGAATCATCACGCTCCTGTGCAGGGGTGGTGCCATCGGGGGCCCCATCGGCGATCCATGGGCCATGCGGGGTCGACGCGTCCCCCCCCGAGCCTGCCCCCACCATCGGCCGTTGCTGAAGGCCCCCCCGGCCCAAAGGTGCCCCCAGCTGTTCGCCCCTGGGGCTCTCTGGGCCTCGTGAAGGGTCCTCTGCAGGCCATGGGGCTCCCCTTGGAAATCCTAGGGGCACCTTGCCCAGACCCCCGACGTCATGACTTTTTCATGACGTCGACCCTCCGAGGTCCCGACCCATTCCCCTGGACCGGTGTTCTACCCTGTGAGTCGCTGTCTGACGGTCCCAGAGACCGATAAGGGCCTCCAGAGGCAGAAACTTCAGAACAACCTCCCGTCATCAGGGCTCTCCTTGGAAATCATGGGGGGGACCTGGGGCCAGGGGCACTTCTGGCAACCCCCGACCCCAACGCTGCCCCCCGACAGCGGAGGCCGCGGGGGAGGCCTCTCCAGCTCGGGGCCCAGCTGGCCCAGCGCCGCACGGTCGAACGCGCCGCGCTTGTCGGGGGGCATCCTGCGCCCGCGCCGCCGCCGCCGCACGTCGCCGCCGCTCGTGGCCGTCGTCGTCGTCGCCAGTCGTCGTCGCAGTCGGTCTGCGGCGGCTTTCTTTGGCGGGGCACCGCGCTCCTCCATTCTCCGCCGGCCGTCGGCCCGGTCGCCCTGTGGTGGCGCAGTAGCGCGGTGTCCCTGCACCCCCACTCGCGGTGCGGCCCACGGACCCGAAGGAAGCGGGTCCTGATGTTCGCCGTCCTCGGGCTTCTGGGGGCCTCCCTGGCCCATGGGGCGTCCCAAGAACGGCACGGAGAGCTCGACGGGTGTCGAAGCTCTCTCTCGGCTGCACGACTGTGAGCACATCACAATGCAACCATTATCCGAGGAACCCGCCCGAAGTATGATGGCCCGAGAGCTAGCATGGTATCGCCCCTCCTTCTCCTCCTCATCCTCCTCTTCCCCCTCCTCGAATGAGGACGTCGGGAAACCCCTTCGGGGCTGCGCCTGGACTCAGCTCGGCAAATGGGCCAGGGTGCACCCTGGGAGAAGCCTGAAAACAACTTTGCTATGGATTTCGGCAAGGGGGGCGCAACCGATACGTGCATACCGCCCCAAATGTGGGGTCGTGGACAAAAATGGACATGAGTGGCGTGTTTGCTCCGTTTCACCCGAGGCCCCACACGGATCGATCCAGCTCGAGACATGGCGCCCTTATGTTGAATCCTCGGGGGGCCTTGTCGGCCTCGTCGCAACCCTATCCGCGTCGAACCCGTGTCAAATCCATGTCGGCCTCGTCGGATCCGTGTTGAAGCCGTGTCGAATCCGCGTCGAATCCTCGACAAATTCGCGTCGAATCCGCATCGTGCCCGCGTCGGGCACAAGAGAACACACCAATAATGAGGACAAGTGAGGTCCCCCGAAGATGCAACGTAAACGCCCGACAATGGGGTCGGGGGCTTGCGCCGTGATTGCTTCACGACGCCCTTTCGTGTCACGAGGTGGGCTCTCGGGGACCCACTCCTCACAAGTCCTCTACATCGTTCCTCCGTCGGCCTCCCTCGTTCGCTCCTTTCCTCCCTCGCCCTCCATCCTTCCAGCCCCCCCTCCTCGTTCGCCCCTCACCACTACTGCTTCACCCTTCATCGTTTATCTTCCTACGTTTCTCATTCTTCTGATCACCCTTGCTGTATCCCCCCAATCCCCCTCCCTGCTCCCATCTCTCTGCATCCCGTAAATCCCCCACCACTCCAGCCTCCTTCCTGCCACATCCCTGCACACTCTTCCCCTTTTCATCTCTCTCCATCCCCGTCTCGCTCCACTCCTCCCCATCCCTGCCTCCGTGAGTTTTCGGGTCAAGACTCTGTTTTCCGACTACCGTTTGAGACGATCTTAGCAACTGCAGAACGCTAAGGCCGGGCGGGAAATGTATAGACACCGCCAGGACTGCTTTTGAGCATGAAAAGCTCCACACCCGTGGTCCCCCGGGTGGGGAGGCCCAGGCGGCGCCGCGGAGCATGACGATTCTCCCAGCGAGGAGGTGGAGGAGGAGGAGGAGGAGGACGAGGAGGAGAAGGAGGACGAGGAGGAGGAGGAGGAGGAGGAGGAGGAGGAGGAGGATGAGGTTCCCCACCCCACCATCGCATCTTTTCGCCTCGGGTCAGCCCTCGCCGCGCCGCGCCACAGCGCGGCGCGGCGCGGGGGCGGCGTCGCCCAGGGCCCGCCTCAGCGCGCGCAGGACGTGGTGGTCCGTCTCGCCGCCTGCGAGCCGGCTCCGCCTGCCTCCTGCCTCCTCCCTCCTCTCCATTCCCCCTCCTCCTCCCCCTCCCCCATCCAATCCCCCTTCCTGGCAAGTAGCGCCTCCGTGTAACCCCTCGAAGCGCGTCGGTAGGGCGGGCTGGGCATGTCGCCTGAAACGTCCTCACCACGTATGATCCTTACGCTCAAGACTTCCAACAGCTTCGCGGATGGAGTGCGGATCGTTTTCAAAATGCGGTTATCGCTTTAGCGCCGCGCGCATTCGTCTTAAAATATTGCAGCACTGTCACGGATGGAGGGCGGGTGTTGCTCAACACGTGGCTCCCGCATTAGCACCGCGAGCATCTATCTACGAGGTCTGCAAGAGCTTCACGGATGGAGGGCGGGCCGTTTTCAAACTGTGATTTTCGTCTTAGCACCGCGCACATTCGTCTTACACGTGCGCAGATGTTTCACGGATGGAAGGCAGCTCCTTCTCAAACTGTGGCTCTCGCCCCAGCGCCGCGCACATTCGCCTTAGGAGTTCACAGCGGTTTCAATGACTATGGTTGGCGCCCCAGGGATGTTGTTCTGGCGCGATTCAAGACTGTCATGGCGCAAGAGGCACGTTCATTCGCGGTGTTGGAATCCAAGGAATGGTGTTCTGGCACGGGTCAGGATCGCCATGACGCAACAGTAATGCTGATTCGCGGCGTTGAGGTCCCAAAAATGGCGTTTTGGTACGTATCCAGTTTTTCAAATGGTTGTCTTCCAACGGGGCGCATCCCTCGGTGAAAATGAACCCCTGTAGGGCAGGGCCCTTTGAGAAAGGGGACTTGGAGGAAGGAAATCGCCGATGAACCTTAGGTTTACGCTGGTCCTCCTCCGCCTCCCTCCCCCTCCTCCTCCCCCTCTTCCTCCTCCTCCCTCCTCCCTCCTCCCGGTAGCGCCGAGCCCGCGCCGTAGCCCACAAAACGCGCGGGCGAGACCCGGGGCGGGGGTCCTGCCGAAGTCCCCACCTCGGACCTGCGCCGCCGCCCGCACCAAGCGCGCGCACACCCACGCCGCCGCCCGCACCAAGCGCGCGCACTCGCCCGCACCCGCGCGCAGACGAAAACGCACACTCTCCAAGACGGCCCAAGAGGCCTGCAAGAGGGCCCCGAGACGGCCTAAGAGCGTCCCAAGACGGCCCAAGAGGCGCACAAGAGGGCCCTGGAGGGCCCCGGAGGGGGCCCATGAGAGCGAGCACGAACCGAAAATCCAAGCCTTCCGCCCCAAGAGGCCCCCAGGAGGCCCCAAGGAGCGCTCGAGAGGCCTCACGCCCCCAAGAGGCCGCCCTCGCCTGCGCAACCGACCTGTTACGCCCCACGCCGCCGTCTGCACGCTCGCCCGCGCCCCGCGCGGGCGACTGCGCCGGCGCTTTCGCTGGCGCGCCATTCTCTCCAGAAGCGGGGGGGAGGAACAGAGGGGCGGACGGAGGAGGATTGACCTGCGATCCGACGGCTGTCGCCCGCGCAGTATAAAAACAAGAGCTCAGGAGAAGACACACAGCTATGCAAGAGAAGACACAGCTACATACCAATACCGATGCTCCGATGCTCCTCTCCTGGGGTGCGTTCCCACCTGGACTTCGAGGCGAACCCAGCCGTGGCGGCGAGGTCTCCCCTGTACTCTCTTCTCCCCTGCGAAGAGGACGGGACCATGGAGGGGAGGAACATGAAGTGGCCCTGGGACACACAAATAAATACACATACATGTCTTGGCTTTTGTCTACCCCCACACTTCCCATATGTTCCCATATTTCCTGGGGAATTGACGATTAATTGTGTCTGTGTTTTTTTCCCTCCTGAGAACATTTGGACGCCCAGAATGGGTACGTTAAACACTGGTACGATGCCAAGCAACACGCGTTGACCAAGGCCAACAGCGGCCGTTGTTGGCCAGGCGTCAAGCGGCACTTACATGGACAACGCCCGCGGCGACACCGACAGCGAGTCCCGTTCAACATCCGCCAACCCTGTCGGCGTGTGTGAGACGCCGCTCCGTTTGCCGCAGAAAATTCGAGCAACGTCGTGATCGCAATTGGATCGAAGGGAAGCCACTTCCCTTTGATACCTTCCCCGAAGGGGGGTCCCCAGTGGGTAGCGAGGAAGGTAGCGAGGTGGGCCCCGGGTCAAAACACAATGCCCCCTGGGCCCAAGAGTGCCCCAAGAGGCCTCCAAGAGGGTCCAAGAGGGTCCCGAGTCGCCGAACGATCGGTCCAAAACGCTACAGATGGCCTCCTGACACCCCAAGCGGCAGCCGAGACGCTTTAAGAGGCTTCCAAGGGCACACCAAGAGGACCCCAACAAGCAACGTTCAATGATTTCCCTTTGGTCTGGGAGAGATTTGGACGTTCTCGCCTGTTCGGCTTCCCGACGCCCCAAGAGAGCCCAAGATGCCCCGAGATGGACTGACGAGGCCACCAAGAAGTCGTCGTCGTCGTCGTCGTCGTCGCCGTCGTCCCCCTTCAGGGTCGGTGGCACCGACCGTAGGTAAGGCCTTCCCACGCCACAAGTGGTCTTCGTGTCCACTCTTTCCGTACCGTTCGTGCCAAGAAAAGTGGGGTGGGGGATCGACCACACAGTTGATTGACCCCCAAATAAAAGCTCTCGCTGAACCCACAACAAATGTTTAGAATCTTCGCAACTATACACTATACGAAATGTGGACGTATCGGTTGTTTCTGCCAACCGAGCAATCCGCTGCGCCTCAAGGGGCTGACACTGCACCCATCGACGAGCCGTCGCAGCTCCCACGCAGCGGCAGTGTTGTATAGAAGCCATCCGAGGAGTTATCGTCACTACATTCTGGGGGAAGAGGAGGAGTAGGAGTAGGAGTAGGAGTAGGAGTAGGAGTAGGACTAGGAGTAGTAGTAGGAGGAGGAGGAGGAGGAGAAGGAGGAGGAGGAGAGGAAGGACATCGAGGAGAAGAGGGAAGAGAGAGAGATGGAGACGATAAGACAGAAAACCAAAGAGACGACTGCTGCGCATCACGCGTAGCCTCGATGGACAAATCAAATTTTGGATTCACCAACGCTGGCATCCGCGTGGGCAGCCGGCGACGTCGACGGCGGCTCGCGCTTGCTCCCTCCTCGGGTTCCTCCTCCCCCTGCCCCTCCTCCTCAACCTCCTCCTCCTGTTTCGTCAGATTATTTATATTCCTCCCCCTCCTCCTCCTCCTCCTCCTCCTCCCTCCTCCCTCTCCTCCTCCCTCCTCCTCCTCCTCCTCCTCCTCCTCCTCCTCCTCCTCCTCCTCCTCCTCCTCCTCCTCCTCCTCCTCCTCCTCGAACCAAAAGCTCGAGAAGCACGGGCGCCCCCCCCCGCTGGGAGGCCTGCCTGCGGCCGCCCACTCCTGGCGGGGGGGAGGGGGCGGGCGGTGAGGGAGCTCGGGCGTGGTGGGCGGGATGTGAATTTTCATGGCCTGAAGCGTCTGAAACAATTCCTGTCTCTCTTTTGCAGGGTCACCTAACAGAAAAACATGATTGGCGCGCCCTCGTCGGACCACCTCGTCGAATATGCGAGAACTTCGCACAGGCCGAGCCGCTGATAAGAATGGCGCATCCGCCTGCATCCCGCACATGAAAAATGCGCCAAAGCCGCACACGCCATGCATTTCGTGGAGGAGGAGGTTGAATTCCATTCGGGGTCCCCTGGTTTCTTTCTTGGACACAAATCGCATGATGTCGGGACCTAAATTGTTTATGAATCCGATTGTCTTCTTGCACAGGGGGTTGGGTGAACATCCCAGGAAGCACTGGAGAATTTTTCCGGAAACTCGAAGGGGGGCAAAATGCTCGGGGTCGGGGAAATCCTCGGGGTCGGGGGAATCCTCGGGGTCCGAATGCGAACTGGAAGAAGAGCAAGAGGAAGGCAGCAGAGGAAAACGAGGAAGAGCAGCAGCTGGAATAGACACAGGCGACGAAGCACCCCCTCGCGCTTGTGCCTGCACGCCCTAGGAGACTTGTTGAGTCACTCAGAGCCCCTCTCGGAGACATCCCTCGCTTTTGCCCGCAAGGGTGGATTCGACCCCTCTGCCAGAGATGCTGCAGCGATCTAGTCGGCCGTGCTACGGTCGATCCCGAACTAGGCGAAGCTGCCGTACTTCATCTCGAAAGCGTAGGAGTCGTCGCCGCGCTCGATGAGGGCGGCCAGGACCTCGACATCATCGGCGCCGAAAATCAGGAACAACAGGCCGGGGGCCGTTGCAGTCGAGGCGGAACTCGGCCTTCCAGATCTCCTGCTCTTTCATGTGCGTGAGGAAGGACTGCCGCGGAGGACCGAGGAGCTTGTGGCGGTTCCCGATGTCCTGGCTGGCGTCGAGCCTGCAGCGGATTAGGACGAGATGCTGAGTGCGAGGGTCTTGCCACGAAATGTCACCATGCGTCAGAGTGTCGAGCACAGCGCTGGCAATGTCGGTGGAGGTGAAGCGAATCGAGTAGCTCATCTGCATGTTGATGGCCGTCACTTCTGTGCCCTGGCTTTGATGTGCAGGGAGTGCTTGGAGAACCGCAGCAGCGTGGACCTGGAACACGCCAGCCAAAACACGGCGAGGAAAGCCAATGATCCATATCTTGCATTTGTCAGCATCACCACCTGAGGGAAAGGGGCTCGGCACTTCACCAACTGCGCGACGCTTGTGACCACCGGTGCCTACCGAGGCTGGGCTGCCCAGACTTGAGAGCGTACTGCGGGGAGAGCGTGAGATGGTATATGCAGCAGACTCGCAGGCCGCGAGCATACTCTCAAGCTTGGCGAGGATAGATGCTTCGACAGCAGCGGTGATCTTCTCGCACGTGCCGTTCTGGATGTTGAAGACCTGGGTCTCTGAGGTCTTGCACTTGGCGTCGAAGGCGGCAACCTGGTCCCTGAGGTCGTTGATGTCCTGCTTGGTGGCGACGTTCGCGAGTGTGGCGTACATGTTGTGCAGTATTGCCATGATGTCACCCGAGGAGCTGCCAGGCTGCGATGGAGCAGGAGTCGGTGGTGCAGGCGAGGCAGGAAAAGAGTTGATGGTCGCCACCACTTCCTCAGAGTGGCCGCAGATCCCCTCCTTCGCATCGGCAGACTAGTCGTTGAGGTCAGAGACGGCGTCGACGTCCTCGTCGTCGGCCATGCCGCAGGGAACCAGGGGCGGGCACGGAGTGGCGCGGGACATGAAGGTGCTTCTGGAGGGAGCGCCGAAATGCGTGCCCCCCGAAGGCCCGAGATCGCTCGAAAGAGGCCTACGGAGAGGCCGAAAGCTAATCGCTGGTTCTCGGGCGTCTATAGCCCTTCACAGCGTTTAGCCTTGAGCCAAAATGGCTACGGAACGGCTGAGGAGGAGGAGCAGGAGGAGGAGGAAAAAGAAGAGTAAACAAAGGGAACGAAAATGAATGCAAGAAGAATGATAGGATACGACGACGAGAGGATGAGGCGGAGGCGGAGGAGGGCGAGAAGGAGGAGGTAGTAGGATGAGGAGGAGGCTGAGGAGAGGAGGAGGAGGAGGAGGAGGAGGAGGAAAGGAGGAGGACGGCGAGGAACTCCTGGTACCGGCGCGCCGCAGCCTCGGCCCGCGGCGGCCGCGCGCGGGCCAGCGCCGTGAGCAGGGCCCACATGTTGCACGCCTCTCGGGCCGCGCACGGGGCGCGCGCGCAGGGCGCGCGCGCGCGTCCTCCGCGTGCTCCTCTCGCCTCCCCTCCCCGCCCCTCTCCCCCTCCTCCTCCAGCGCGCTCCTCCGCAGGCTCGAGTCCTCTTCCCTCACACCCCCGATGTCCATGCCTCCTCCCTCCTTCCACCTCCTCCTCCCGTTGCTCGCTCCTTCTACTGAACCTCGGAAGTATTTTTGCTGCTGTTCTCTGGCACTGCGGCGTGAGCGCGAAGCAAATGACGAATCGCAGCCCAAAAGTCATGAAGGTGTACAGTCGGCCCTCATCATAAGGATGCGCGATGAGGATGCACGGGCCTTGGACGCCCATTTCGGAGTTTTTCGAGCGGGGCACGGCCAACGCAAGTGGCCAAGGACGGGCCAAGGAGGGAAGGATGAAAGGGTACCCTTGGAAAGGTGGCCCATCCTGACCATGCGAATTGACCGTAGACACGGTGTCATCGGGAGCGGCGCCAGTCGTATGACATAGCCGCACGAAGATGGCGGCGCCTTAGATCACATCATTAAGACGAAACCATTGAGCAGGGACCGACCGTCACGGCATTCTTGTAGGCCTACCACAAAATGTGCTTTGAATCCATAAGTTTTCTAAGAACAAATACAATGTTCTTAGAACTTACACCCGATGTGTTACAACAAGACAGTCTCAGCCAGAACAAAATATGATAACATTTCGTGCAGACCACACAAGGTTCTTAGAACACTCTTTGGTCGGCATCTGTAGGCGAGCCAGGACGCTTCGCCACTGCTTGAAGCCGGGACCGGGTCCAAGTCGGACCGGGACATATCGGGGAACTTTGACATCCGTAGGTTCTGGAAGATGTGCTGGGCGCCTCGGCCGTTCCAGAGCGCTCTGGCACGGCGCTCTGGAACGGCGACGCACTGGAGCGACACGCCCCGCTCCCGCCCCGCCGGAACCGCGGAGAACGACAGCACGGGCGTGGTAAGGCTTCGGGTTGCACACATACGGCCCCTCCAGGTAGTCTTAGGCCGGGTATGTCCCCCTACAGGCGGATTTTGGGCAAAAAACTCCGAATAGTCAAACATGATCCTAACGAACAACCCATACATATGCAAATGTGGGTACCGACATCGTGAATAGTTTCTTCGGTGAAGCTCCCTATGGGGCCACGAAGCGCTGCACTGGGTGGGGGGAACGCATGCGGGCGGTAGCACTGGGGCCGTCGGTGGAACTCTCTATGGGGCCACGAAACGCTGTACTGGGTAGGTGAAAATGCCAACTTGGGTGTGTGGGACGCATGCGGACGGTCCCAGTGGGGGCTTCGGTGGAGCTCCCTACGGGGCCAAGAAGCGCTGCACTGGGTTGATGAGAATGCTAACTTGGGTTTCCGGGGCGCACGCGGGCGGTCCCACTGGGGGCTTCGGTGGAGCTCATTATGGGGCCACGAAGCGCTGTACTGGGTGAGTGAAAATGCCAAATTGAGCTTCTTGGGCGCAGGCGGACGGTCCCACTGGGGGCTTCGGTGGAGCTCCTAATGGGGACACGAAGCGCCATACTGGGTGGGTGAAAATGCCAAATTGGGTGTGCGGGACGCACGCGGACGGAATCGAAGCTTCGGTGGAGCTTCCTACGGGGCCCGAAAACGCCGTACTGGGCCTCCTCCTCCTCCTCGTCCTCCTCCTCCTCGTCCCTCCTCCTTCCTCTTCCTCCTCCTCCTCCTCCTCCTCCTCCTCCTCCTCCTCCTCCTCCTCCTCCTCCTCTCCTCCTGGTATCTCCCCCCTCCCCTCCTCCTCCTCCTCCTCTTCCTGGTCGTCCTCGTTCTCGTCCTCCTCGTCTTGCTCGTCCTCCTCCTCCTGGTGTTCTCTCCTCCTCCTCCTCCTCCTCCTCCTCCTCCTCCTCCTCCTCCTCCTCCTCCTCCTCCTCCTGGTGGTCCTCGTTCTCCTCCTCCTGGTGCTCTCCCCCCCCCTCCTCCTCCTCGTCCTCCTCCTCCTCCTCGTCCTCCTCCTCCTCTTCCTCCTCCTCCTCCTCCTCCTCCTCCTCCTGGTACTCCTCCCCCTCCCCTCCTCCTCCTCCTCCTCCTCTTCCTGGTCGTCCTCCTCCTCCTGGTCGTCCTCCTCCTCCTGCTCGTCCTCCTCCTCCTCCTGCTCGTCCTTCTTCTCCTGCTCCTCCTGCTCCTCGTCCTGCTCCTGCTCGTCCTCGTCCTCCTGGTCTTGCTCGTCCTCCTCCTCGTCGTGCTCTTGCCCCTGCTGAAAATGTGGCCCAGGAATGGGAGTTCTGGGAAGTCGAAGAGCACGAAGTTGCCTACAGTTAGCTACGGGCATTCAAAATGTGGCCCGGGAATGGAGTTCTGGGAACTCGAAGAGCACGAAGTGGCCTACAGTTGGCTCCGGGCATTCAAAATGTGGCCCGGGAATGGAGTTCTGGGAACTCGAAGAGCACGAAGTGGCCTACAGTTGGCTCCGGGCATTCAAAATGTGGCCCGGGAATGGAGTTCTGG